ATATATATATACATATATTATGACGTGAAAAAAAGTTAAAACAAAGATGGAAGGTGCAAGAAACAAATACATACCTGTTGGACCAGTGAAGTGAGCAATTTGTCTTTTTTTAGTTTTCAAGTGGAAATGAAACAAAAAGAAAAAAAAAAAATCTTATTAGGATTTTTGTCATAAAAGTAAAGAGATAGAAAAAAACAAAATATTAATGCAACCTTACTCAGTCAAGAAGCTGACACGTTCAGCAAGAGGTGCAAGTCCAAGCAAACTAAAAGCAAAAATCCAAGGCTGTTCATAACATGAAAATCATCATATATTTATTTGATCATGATAAATATTTTAATATTATAAAAAATATTTTAAATTATTAACTATTATATAGTTTATTAAGAATGTTGGTTTTAAAAATCACGGTTTTTAAAAATTAAGAATGACTCATTACCTTCTCCCATTTTGACGGTTACAACTTAATATAAGAAAATTAATTGACGGTTCAATGATTGGTATGTGATCCTTTGAATGCCAAAGGCGTTCTTAGGGTGATCTCATAGTTCTTGATTTAATTTTAGCGCGAATAGCTAATTAACGTGTTTTATTTATTAAACAAGACTCAATCATTGATATCCTGGATTCAAATCATTCAACCTGAGAGCGAATAGCTAATGTATTATAAAAGGCATCCTTAGGAGGATGATCTCATAGTTTCTACTACGAGGTGTAGATGAAGGGGTCAGTTCATGAATTTTCTACTCTTCTCTTTTTTAACATTTTGCTCAAACGGATGAAGGGAGATAATAGTACATAAAAATGATATATCCTTAAAAATATTCAAAGAAATACTTTGATCTTTTTCTTTTTCAATTTATATGATATTTTTCTTTGTTCATGCGTCAATTTAACTAATTTTTAAAATTAAATTAGATTATATCAACTCAATATATATTCTAAAACTAAAATTTATAGATTCAAAATTTATACGAAAAGTACTATAAGTTGCAGTTTTTACCGAAAAATATATTTTAAAGTATTGATCAAACTTTACCTAGATTGAGTATCGAAAAAAATGAAAAACATCTCATAAATTGAAACAGAAAGAGTATAATAAAATCAGGAAGAGAAACAGAAATAAAAATACTAACTCTTGCAAAATGATAGTATTGAGCCAAGATTGCCAAAGGGATAGCTGGTAAGAGCAAGCAAAGCTTTGTTCCTAATATAACTTCTTGAAAATTAACCAACAATATCCTAAATATTTGTGCATTTTTCTTCTTCTTCATAATAATTTCTTCATCATTTTTCCTCTCTAATTCTTCTCCAACATTATTCTCCAAATCCCTTAGAGAGCCCATTATTTCCTAATAATAGAAAATGGGATTTTAAATTTTATTTTTTTCTAAAAAAGGACTAGAAAAGGTTGATTTAATAGGGGAAAATTTTATGTATATCAACACTTGTGTTCTTGGTTTTATATAGAGGACAAGAAATGGGAGTTTGGGTGTGTTTGAAATTTGAAGTTTCCTAGAATTTTCCTTTTTTTTAATTTATTAAATTATTTATTTTTCAAATATGTATGCATGGACTCCACGTAGTTTTATGGTATGGAAACAAGTGCTAGTAGAACCCTAAAAAAGGTAAAGAAATAAAGTATGTAGGTTTTATATATTTGTGTACTATATGGAATAAAATCATTGGAAAAAATAATTATTGAGTGTTCATGAGAAAAAATATTTTATGGTACATTATGCTATATATTGATTACTCAATTGTTATTAATTCACGTGGATACGTATTTTTCAGGTAAGAAATGTATATATCTTTCTCACTTCAACATTAATGGATTCAGTGTATATAGTGAGAAAATTAAAAATATTCAATGATTATAAATTCATTATAATAATAAAATTAATTGAATAAACAATCGTTCCGAGGTTTTCTATTTTCAAAAAGTTTTAAAAGAAGTCATTTGTTGTTACTTTCTAATGGTATGATATGTTTGAGAAAGTGGACACTCCTTCGATATTTTATGTCAAAGGATCCGACTAATTTAGATGACACATTTTACTAAGATAAAATTATATTACTAACAACTTAAGTTTAAGTTTTAGATAAGATCTGATCATACGCTAGCTTCAACAAGTTATCAAAACAAACAAAGATTTTAAATTTAAATTTTATCGTCATTCATTATTAAAAAGAATTTATACGTATTTTACCGCTAACTTCCAAGAGTAGGAGCCAAAATATATACTCAAGAAGCTAAGTAAATTAATACATAGAAGTTTCCTTGAATTTTCACAAAATCCCTATTTAGAGAGAACCATATTTTTAGTACTTTGTTGCACTAACGTATACAATTAAAAGAAGAAATTGTGCATATATAGTAGAAGTATGTAATAAGAAGTTTCCTTTGGTGATTTCTTCACTGAATGGTCACACATTATCTGTTTCAACTAAAATATTATGGGTACTCTCATGTTAGAAAGAATATTGCATTTTGATGGTGATTTGGCTGAAAACTAGATATGGCCAATGGAGGAATTGGGTTAAATTTGGATGGTGTATAATGTCGAAATTTTATCGAATTTAAATTCTTAAATATATTTTAGACTACATTTTAAATTTAAGATATGTTAATCCAGTTTGGTGGCATAATTACCAGTTGTAGTTACACTTTACCTATTTACATTCGTAGCAATACATTTGGGTGTTAGATGCTTGTATCCATTGTATTCATTCGTAGCGAATACAACCTATATCCATTGTATTCATTCGCACAACAAATACAACCAAGGTGAAATACAGAAAATACAAGGCGTATACAAGAATCTTTTTCAAATGGACTTATATTCCATTAATTTAAGGAAAATGACTTAGGAAAAATATTTTCTAAATTATCACCATCCCACCCCCACACCACCACCCAGTGGCGGACCCAGAATTTTCACGAAGTGGGTTCAAGATATAAAAAATAAATAAGCAAAAATGCAAACAAAACAAATTTTGATTAATTAAAATATATCATTACAATTCTATTCTACGAGTTTTCATTTCTTGAAACCTATTCATAATACTCTCATCAGAAATAGTATTAAATATTCTTTTCTCTACATAAGGCACCAAACAACTACTCAGAAAATCATCATCCATTCGATTTCGCAATTCACTCTTGATCAACTTCATTGCCGAGAAAGCTCTTTCAACTGTAGCTGTAGCAACCGGCAGGAGCAACGCAGACTCTTGATCAACTTCATTGCCGAGAAAGCTCTTTCAATTGTAGCAGTAGCAACCGGCAAGAGCAACGCAAATTTTATAAGGCGAAACACAAGAGGATAGTTTAAATGCTTCTTTACCTTAACTAGCATTTCAGAAAGATCGCCAAGCCCTTTTAAGTTGGAGAACCTTTTATCAACATCACGGACATCAACTATATAAGTCTCTAGCTGATTCCTAAGAGTAACCATTACATTTTCACCAAAATCATCAGGATATAATTCAGCCATTCTCAATATGTTCTTGATGTCAAAACTAGAAAATGAGTCAACTGGATTCAAGCAAGCAACTCCAATAAGCAAATTTGTTCTAACCTCATTAAAACGATCATTGAGTTCTTGAAGCTGCCAATCAATAATCTTAAAAAATACTTCCACACGATAGTGATGTGAAATAGTATACTCAGCAACTTTACGTCGAGATCTTCCAAAATTAACATAGAACTCATCAAAATTAGGTATCAAAATATCATACTTGACACAAAATGCGGACACATTCTCGACAAGTGAATCCCATCCTTCATTCCTTAAATCTTGCAATCGTTTCTTCACCACTTTAACAAGTAGAATGGCATTTGCAATATCTTGTTCTTTCTTTTGTAAAGACTCATTAAGCTCATTTGTGATCGCTAAAATATCTCTCATTAAATGCAATATGAAAGCAATCTCAAATGTTTGACAAACTTTAAGATATCCGGTTGCCTTAGCTTTTTCTTCAACAGATTCAGAATCAACAACAATAGTATCAAGAACATCAGTAATAGAGCCAAACATACTAATGAAGTTCTTAAAAGATTTGTAATGTGAACCCCACCGAGTATTGACAGCTCTAGCAAGACCAAGTTCTTGATTCAATCCCTTACCACTTTCAACCTCACCCATATCAAGTGCCACTTGAACTTTTTTTGCTTGAGATTCTCGAAGTTCATCCATACGTTTAAAAGAACCTCCCACTACATTTAAGACATTAGAAACCAACAATACAAGTTCTCCAACTTGAAGGCATTTTTTAGATACCCCAACAAGAGTTAACTGAAGTTGGTGAGCAAAACAATGAATTGCATGAGCTGATTTACTTTCTTGTTGAATCAAAACTTTAAGGCCACTTAAACGCCCTTGCATATTGCTAGCTCCATCATAGCATTGCCCTCGTATAAAAGATAAACTCAAAGAATGTTGCGCAAGATAGTTAACAATAGCTTCTTTCAAACATAAAGCACTAGTATCATGAACATGAATAATTCCTATGAACCGTTCCACCACAGACCCCTTTCTATCAACATAACGCAAAACAATTGCCATTTGCTCCTTACGTGATATATCACAAGATTCATCAACTAACAATGAAAAATAGTCACCGTTTAGATCCTCCATAATAGCTTTAATTGTTTCAAGCTTACATGCAGTGACTATATCTTTTTGAATTTTATGAGAAGTCATCTAGTCATTTTTTGGAACCTTTTTCAACACAAGTTCACCAATTTTATCACACCACTTCGCATACCATGAAAGAATTTCAAGAAAGTTACCTTTGTTTAGCGATGATTCATCTTCACGATGTCCACAAAATGCCAATCCTTGATTCAAGAGAAGTCTCGCCACTTCAATTGAAGCCTTTAAGCGAATTTTGTGCTCAAGCTTGGTTTGATTTGATAGCTTAACAAATGCGGCTTGAATTGATTGTTCTTGTTGCATTAGATCTTCACACTTCTTCTTTGCCTGATTGTGAACACTGTTTGACTTACCAATATGCGTATCTAATCTTTTCTTTTTGTGCCAACTCCTGAAGCCTATACTTGAAAATGTTTCACCTCCACCTTGATGAATGCTTTCATCTTGAAATACATAACAACACAAACAATAAGCTGCATCTTCAGTCACACTATACTCCAACCAATCATGACATTTTTTAAACCATTTGCGATTAAAACGACGTTTTAATCCAGAAATATCACTTTGAGGAAATTCGCGAATTCGAGGTTGATGAGGACCTCTTTGGATATATGCTCGTCTAATCTCATCACGTTCATCCGGATGATAGTCTCGAATGGGTATTCTTTTCTTTGGATCAGCCGGTAAAGAATCCAAATCTACCCCTTGTTTCAATCTTTTAGCGGAATGATGAGTTTCTTCTAATTGGTTCAAGTTTTCTTCCACCCGAGGAGCATTTTGAGCGGATGAACTTGATTGTGGCAACTTGGAGGATATAGGAGAGAAAAATCTCTTCATTTGATATTCAACCTGTATTACCAAATTAAAATTCTAATTAGAAAGTAACTAAACAAAGCGTTGTTAAATAAATGGAATTTCAATTAAATGATCTTGCAATTTGCATTGCTTAACTTTAATAAATTGCCATAGCATCTTATTAACTTGACATTACTATGTCGAAAGCATTCTCCTCAAGTTAGATCAATAAACAAAAGACTACAATTTAGATAATGCACTTTTATGAGGCTAACAACATACATATTTGACTATACTAAACAATGTTAATAAATTT